TAAGAAACAAAACCTATCTTTTTGCTGTCTGCAAGAAACTCATCTCACTTTCAAGGACAGGCACTACCTTAAAGTGAAAGGATGGAAAAATATATATATATCAAGAAAATGGTACTAAGAAAAAAGCAGACACTGCAATTCTAAATCCTGATAAAATAGACTTTAAAACTAACCAGAAGAGACAAAGGTGGCCACTTTATTCTCATCAAAGGAACAATGAATCAAGAAAATATTACAATCATGAACCAAAATCTGTTGGACCCAACTTCATAAAAACAATACTACAGGACTTAAATGGAGGTCAGAAGAGGGAGTCAGATCCCCTGGAACTGGAGTTACAAATGACTGTTAGCTGCCATGTGGGTGCTCCATTAGATAGGTCAACAGGACAGAGAGTCAACAGACACCTGAATTAAACAATACCATATATCAAATGGACCTAATAGACATCTACCAAATATTCCACCCAAGTACCAAAGAATATACTTTCTATTCAGTGCCCAATGGAACCTTCTCCAAAATCAACCATGTACTGGGGCACAGAACAAACCTCAACAAATACAAAAAGATTGAAATAATTTTATGCAGTCTATCAGACCACAATGCAATAAAGCTTAAAATCAACACCAGAAGAAACCCCAATAACCACATGAATACATGGAGACTAAACAACACACTCCTAAATAATGAATGGGTCAAAGGAGAAATTAAGAAAGAAATAAAAGTATTCCTAGAACTAAACAAAAAGGACAATACAACACAACAAAACCTCTGGGACACATTGAAAGCTGTCCTTAGAGGGAAGTTTATAGCTCTAAGTGCCTATGTTAAAAAAAATCGGAAAGAACAGAAATAAATTACTTAACACTGCAACTCAAGACACTTGAAAAACAACAACAAATGAAACCCAAACCCAGCAGACAAGAAGAAATAAAAATCAGAGCACAAATTAAGGAAATAGAAACAAAGAAAACAATACAAAGAATCCAAGAATCCAGGAGCTGGTTCTTTGAGAAAATACACAAGATTGATAGGCCGCTAGCCCAGTTAACCAAAAGAAAGAGCACCCCCAAATCAACAAAATCAGAGATGAAAGGGGAAATATCACAACAGATACCAAAGAGATCCAGAACATTATAAGGGAATACTTTAGAAACCTATATGCTACTAAATTTGAAAACCTAAAAGAAATGAATGGGTACCTAAAAGCATGGGAATCACCAAAACTAAACCAAGAAGAGATTAACAGCTTAAATAAACCCATAAG